CCCCAAATGCCCCCCACCAAGATTCTGTCTCTTCTAATATTTTTCAATGCAGTAATTCATCCTAAAGCAAATCAACTGCAGGGCCTCTGCCTGCCTGTCCGCTGGCCGGTCAGCGCTCACAGGGCAGCTCTGGAGCAGCACTGGAGAGATGTCTACACCGGAAACAGCGAGACACTGTAATTCCCATTACTCCCAGAGAAACCCTCTTGGGGGGCGCCAATGGCCCAAGAAATAAAGGTGTGACAATTCGAAATGACATGGATTTATACAGAGTATTTAGCAAACTGTTTCACCAAAGGTATATTACTGTATCAGAATCGCGTTTATTGGCCAATTATGTGAGCGAACACATACAAGGAATTTGATTCCGGTCGAATGTGTCCCTCAAGCACAACAGTATAAAAAAAACAACAATATGTAAAGTCACAATGATGTATATCTCAGAAAAAGGCTGTACTGATTCCACAGTGGGGATTTTAGCATCATGTGAAGGTAAAACACTGTGCTTGAGCTTTTTAAATGAAGCAGGGAGGTAACAAGAAGTTACCTGTTTTCCTATAACAAAATGTTTCTAAATCAGTGGGCTGTATACATTAATCAATTAAATTAATCGCGGGAGGCCTGTCCCCACTGATTTACAACTTTTTTACTGCCACCACCTACTTACAAACCCCCCTCATATGCCCCCCTGTGAAAATCTTGAGCCCGTCAACCTCCTCCCACCGTAGGAGACACTGCTATTGTTAGTGCGATAAATGATGAAGTTCAGCGCATGAGTGAACTCAACTTAGCGGCTATACACTTAACTTTATTAGGGACACCTTGTTAATAGTGACTTGGTCCTGATTTTGCCTACAGAACTGCCTTCATTCTTTCTTGCACAAATTCAACAAGGTAAGTTCTCAGAGTCTTTGGTCCATGTTGACATGATCACATCAGACAGTTACTGAGATTTGTGGGCTACACCTTCATGATGTTAATCTCCTGTTCCACCACATCCCATAACTGCTCTATTGGATCTAGATCTGGCAACTATGGAGGCCATTTGAGGACAGTGAAGTCATTGTCATGTTTAGGAATCAGCCTGAGACAAGCTTTGTGACATGGTGTGTTATCCTCTTAGAAGTAGCTATTACAAGCTGGGTACACAGTGGTCACAAAGGGATGGACATGGTCAGCAACAATACTCAGGTAGACTGTGGCATCAAAATGATGTTCAATTGGTACTAAGGGGCCCAATCGAAGCAATGAAAATATCCGCCACACCATTGGACCATCAGCACCAGCCTTAATTGTACAATAATACAAGGCAAGATGGATCCATCCTTTCATGTTGCTTACAGCAAATTCTGACTCTACCATCTGCCCATCCAAAATTTCTAATTGCCCCCCCAGCCTGAGCAGTCTAGATCCAGGCCTGATCTAAAACACTGTTCAGTTGGTACTAATCTATGGCACAAAAATTTCCCTTACACCATTAGAACACTGGCAGTCTTAACTGGATACTGTAACCATGGTGTTCATGCCAAATTTTGACTATCATCTGAATGTCATAGCAGACACCGAGACTCATTTAACCAGCAAAATTGTTCATCCAAATTTCTATTTTGGTGAGCCTGTGCCTATTGTAGCCTCTGTTTCCTGTTCTTAGCTGTCATGAGTGGCACCCGGTCTGGTCTTCTGCTGCTGTAGCCCATCTGCTTCAAGGTTCCTGTTGTGCGTTCAGAAACGATCTTCTGCATACCTTGGTTGTAACGAGTGGTTATTGGAGTTGCTGTTGTCTTACTATCAGCTCTCTGGATTTTATCTGGATTTTTGTTTAATCTTTTTCAAGCCCATTCTGTATAAACCCTTGGAATGGTTGTTTGTGAGAATCTCAGTAGATCAGCAGTGTCTGAAATACTCAAACCAGCCCGCCTGCCACCTTCCAAGTCACATAACACACCTTTCTTCCTCATTCTGGTGTTTGATGTGAACATTAACTGAAGCTGCCGAACTGTATCTGCATGTTTTTATACATTGCATACATTGTATCCAGTTTATACATTGTGCTGCTCACTTGATTTGCTGTGATTCTTCAGTGTAAACAATCTAATGTTGTCTTACAATATTCATGTTTTAAGCTGTTTCATTATATTTACTAATTACTGACTCACATACCTCCTGCAGACTAGCAACAAACGCATTTATTTACTTCGCAGACACTTTGCTCCAAAGCGACATTCAAGTAAAGCAAATATCACATTGCCAACATACACACTGTCAGTAAGTCAACTAGACATAAGTGCAGCTAGGCTGAGCTTCCAGTAAATGCCTGGGTACAAGTGTAAGCAGCACTGGAGCAGGAGCTACACAACAACTATACTTCTACACAACAATTTCTAACGAAGCAAACATTATAAAGAGCAACTTATCACATAACAGCAACACTAGTAAGTATAAAGTAATAACAGCCAGTGATGACACTGAACAATAAATGATGCCAAGCAAGAACACAGGCAAATGAAAAACACATAATGTAATATATTAAATAGAAATTTAATTAAAATTGATGTTGTCTGTTCTTTGTCTAAACGAAGACACCAACCTTAAAATGTAAACTGATATAATTAGGCATTGTTCTTCTTTTATGGTCCTTTCTGGTGAACTTATCAACATTGCATAATGGTGAATATTTCTCTCTTACCTGGCAACCTAATGAAGACGATGTGGAGGAGGAAGATCAGAGGAGCCATGACTGAGTCTGTCAGAGACCCCAGCCCTCTGAAGACTGGCTCTCTCTTCCTGGTCCACTCTGATACCCCTGATATCCTTTTATGTCTCTGTTCTCAGAAGAAAAAAGGTGCAACACATGCGCACAGTAACATGCAGCAAATGTGCAGACAGTGTGTGATGTGACATGTTCTGTTAAAATAGTAACTGCACATCATTAAAGAGGCTTTATGGAGGGACATTTTGTAACTAAAAATGAAAAGGAGAAGGAAACTACCTCAGTGATGCAGTATGTCAGAAAAGGCCACCATCTTATCACACAACAGGACCTCTGTGGATTATCATGAACTTTGTGGAGAAACTGAACCTACAAGACTAAGTCCCATCACTGGAAACATCTGCAACATGGGGGATGGATGTCAGGAGAAGGTAAGTATTTTGTGTCAGCAACCATAATGAGTAATCAGAAGCAGAAACCAGGACAAGAAATGAGGTCTCGTACCAAGAGACACAGAGCAACATCAGAATAACAAGTCAAGACACAGGGCATAGGACAGAGCTGAGAGATCAAAAGCAGGAAAATCGACAAGACAAGACCCCCCAACAAGTCTAGTTACTCAAACATACAGGAATTTAAGATTGGGCACCAAATCCTGCAGCCAAGCTGTTCACAGAACCAGTGAAGCTTATTAGCTGAGAGCACTTCCTGTTTGGGTTTAGGTTGCAGAGAATGTTCACATCCACCATGTAGCCCTGTCTCCAACTTGTGGCCAAGAGATGTCATAACAACAATAAATAAAGTCCCTTTTTACCTCACTGCAGCATAAAGTTATATAGCGTCTCATTGAGTATCACTGTTCTGCACCACTGGTCTCTATGTCTGGAGTTTGCAGGCTTCCCCCCCCCCCACAAACACTGTTGTAATCCCAGGATTAAGTATCATATTGTTACATTTGTTCCCAACGTCA